TTTGCGGCATACTTGGAGCCAGCTCAGACTGGAATTTTCCATTTACTTGGGGCCAAGCACTCGAGCATCGGAAGCGACCAGACGCTGGCGTTGGTGGAAAATGTTAGCACAGAGAAGTTCAGTAGTACATCCCAGATGGAGAATTTTTGTTTTCACCAAAGGACAGAGACTGGCCTCTCTGTATCCCATGAAATGACCAACACTTAAACCCTGGCAGCTCTGCGATACCAAGAAGTGGTAGAGAAAAGCTGTGTTCTTCGCAGTGTTACTGTTCTGTGGGCTCTGCAAGGCATAGTGTCTAATGGGTCGGATAAGCTAACACTTGTCGGGCTGAATTTGCCTTGTGCCCCTCTGTCACTCACGTGTGGGTAGCATGCATGCCCATTTCACAGATCCACAGCGAGGGTGGTGAGCACCACACAGGATCCTGTGGTGGGCAGCCCCTCCGGCTGAATGCAGAGGCCTGGGTGAATTGCAGCCTCTTGCCTGTCCCTCTCCTTTAACTTGCTTAGCTGTCACCTTGCAGGAGGAGACCAGCAGGTGGTGAGAGAAACGTCAGCATTGAGAAAAGGAGAACGTGTATGTTTAGAGGAGGTGGATGGGAAGACAAAAGACCGAGTGCTTGTTGCTAATGTCCCAGCAGAGAGGGATGGTGCTAATATTAGCAAAGAGGAATGAAGAGCATGGCACGGGTTCCAGATGTGAAAAGGCCGAGGAGCCCCGAAGTGCAGGATGCCAGCCCTGGGAGCCTGAGGTTCACCCGGGGTCTACTCCAGGTCTACACTGGGGAGGTGAAGAGAACGCTCAGTAACAGTGCTCAAACCAACATGTAAAACTGTTTACTCTCCCCTTGGAATCTCACATTTTATTACTAAGGCTACAAGAAATACTAATACCTCCCCCGGGGTCCCCACCATGTGGTTCATTGACCAAAAATTCTGTACACGTCTAGAATAATCCCATGAAATGACCAACACTTAAACCCTGGCAGCTCTGCGATACCAAGAAGTGGTAGAGAAATGGGGGAAGTGGTAGAATAATGGGGGAAATAAACAGATGTGTTTTACTTAAAACCTACGGGGACAAGTTTCAGGCCTAATGATTTAGTTACCTTGACCTTGGGTACTCCCTCCTTAAATGGTACTAATTGCTAGAGCCGTGGACCGCAAACTGTGGCTCACGAGCCACATGTGGCTCTTTGGCCCCTTGAGTGTGGCTCTTCCACAAAATACCACGGCCTGGGCGAGTCTATTTTGAAGAAGTGGCGTTAGAAGAAGTTTAAGTTTAAAAAATTTGGCTCTCAGAAGAAATTTCAATCGTTGTCCTGTTGATATTTGGCTCTGTTGACTAATGAGTTTGCTGACCACTGCCTAGAGCATTACAATTGGAGCCCGTTTCTTTCACTGGCATTTGAAGCTGCAGCGGTTAGAAGAGCGAGCATTCCAGGACAAAGTGCCGTTTACAGGTCTGTAGTAATTGGGCAAAATGTTTTTAAAATTAAACCTGGAATACGCAATAGCAAAGCAATGGCAGCTCCCTTCCTTGTTGAGGGCCTGCATGGCAAGCACGCTTCCTCCTCAGGACTTCCCACTGGTGTTCCTGCCGTCCAGGTGACCTTCCTTCAGCGATGTTAACTTGAGGCAAAGGTAATATTAACCCGTTCAGGTCTGGGACCTCCAAAGCCTGTGTTGCCACTTCACTAAATAGGAAATCTCCCAGGAGTGGGACAGGTGCTAAGTCACCTGTGAGTCCCATGCCAGAATCGGGCATGACAAATGGAGCCCTCATTCAGGCAGCAGCAAGGGTTAAAGAAAAGGAAGTTTACATGAGTCTTCGCTTCACTCTGGGATAGCACATTTGGGGAACGTTCTTTAGTATTCTCAGCTAGTCTCCTGAATAAGGCTACAGAATGTATTGCAGAGCATAGTGTGGTTTATCAGCGACTATGTGCTGTTTTCAGGAAAAGAAATCCATCTCTTGTAGTTATTTTCCTCCTTATAGCTTTCTAGCTCCCTTTCTAAAATAAAATAATTCAGAATCTAAGATGGGAGTTATGGCTAGAGCTTTTAGCTTTAGTGGTATACTTATTTAAACGGCGTCTTTAAGATTTCATTTTCATTACTAACATAGAGAAATGCAAACACAAGTTGTATTTCCTGCCGCCACGCTCATCTCACTTACTTAGGAGTTTGGTAGATTGGCTGAGGTTTTTCTACATCGACAGTCATGTCATCTGTGACGCCATACACTTATTTAGAGCTCAGACATAAAGCCCTTCTAACCTCTCAGGGAAGGGAGCTGGGTTCTTTGCTCCACTATCAGGGGCTGAAATCCCCGGGGCCCCGGATCTCCGCGGCAGCTGTCCGCCGTCAGACAGGCCTTATTGTTAGAAATCTGTTCACCTTTATGCGAGTGAGTGGACCTCCTTTGCTCTGCAACAGCCACCCAGACACTTGATGACAATTGCACGTTCCTCCCCAGGCATCTCAGCTCAGGTGACGCAGCTCTGTGGTCCTCCTGTGGTGAGACCTGAGCAATCCCTGGTGCGCTGTGGAGAACACACAATTGAGAAAAGCATCATATGGTGTGATCGGCCAGAGCTGTTCATAGAAGAATATAATGATCTTTTTAAAAGTCCGAATAAACAATGCAAAATGGAAAGGTTAGCCAGGGACCATAGAAGTGTGTGAGATGGGTTTTAAAACTTATGTAGTTCCCATCCCCATCCCACCCCACACATACAGACACACACATTCACACACGTGCTTTATTTTTGAAAGATTAAAAAACAAACTAGGAGACACATAAGTCACTGATTATTTTTAATAATTTTGTGCTGTGGTTTGACCATAGCATTACGAACAAGCAGAAAAAGCTGATTTCATAGCTTTAACAGCACTTAGAGCAACATCTCTCTTTAAAAGTATTGCAATGACAGACCTTAGGCCTAAGAACTACATTGCCAGTGCTCAGTTAAAAAGAGGCAGATACACAACAGTTGGAGATCTTTTTTAGTACATAACTGGGAATTATTTTGAAAAGTAAGCACAAATGGCTGTTAAAAAAAGACTTTAATGACTTCTGATTATCATAACTCATATGATGAACTTGAAAAGTTCAAATACAGTTGTACTTTTTTAGTAGGCTGCTTTATAATAATTAAATGAACTAAATGCTGTGAATAGTATTACATATTTTAAAACAGCTTCACACTAGACAAATATACAATTAGAAAACGTGATATATGAAAGCCATGAAATGAAAAATAACAATATACCAATAAGCATATTAAAATGAACCAGTATCATTAACAATAAAGTTTAAGCCTTAATTAGTTCTGTAGAGAGAAAAGCCATGGTGTGGTAACAAATGTTAGTACCTCTGAATCCAGAACATTCTCTGATGACACCCACTCTCAACAGTTCTCCCCAGAGATCGAACCTGGGGTGGGGGGATGTGGTTCCTGACAGCCATGAGCCCCTCTTTTTAATGTTGAAGCCTGGGGAACCCTGCAGCAGACAGTGGGGCTGGACAGGAGCGAGAACACACGAGATACCGATCTTTTGATGGATCTTTCAAAACAGATAACAAAAGAAGGGCTGACTTTTAGTCCATTCAGCATTAAGAGCTGCATTGTAGAGGCATTTTCAGTTTAAGGATAATCGGTAATAATTTGTTCTCTGGCGGGTAAGGGTGTGATCCTATTGTGATTTGCAAGATCAGAACTGACACCACCAAGCAAATAAAAACCATGGCACTTATCAGAATTAAGATCCTCCAGGGACAGACCACTGGAAAGGATGCTCACACCCATGTTCAACAGTGGTTTAGTGAGCACACTGTTATAGGCTCTTTTTTTTTTTTTTTTTTTGTAACATTAGAATATTTGAAAATAAATGCAGAGGGCACACTCAGAAACTAAAAACCGAGCAAGAAGAGAGATGTGACATCATGCAACTGAAAATGTAATCCATAACTTGTGACAAAACCTAGTTTATTTTTTGGATTAAGATCACCACGAGACAGTCATGTCATCTGTGACGACATGGCTAGAGTTTTTAGCTTTAGTTGAATACTTATTTAAATGGTGTCTTTAGCATTAACCAAAAGGAATGGACATAAGATTTCCAACTCGGCTGGCTGATAGCTAGTTCTCTGCTAACATAACCCATAACGAGATTTTTTTCGAAGAATGGGGTCCTAAGTGGATTCATGTTTCCTGAGGTATGCTTTCCCTACAAACCCTCTGGTTATTTCACTGGCTCCACAGCTTCAGTTCGTGAAGGAGAAAGGCAGAGAGAGAGAGAGGAGACTCGGGACCCAGGTGGTCCCAAATGCCCCCGTCCTGAGCAAGGCGGACCTCCACTGCAGGCCCCCTGACTCTGGATGTGATTTTTGCAAAATGTGCACTTTCTCTGGGGTCTGACATCACTCTCCCACACAACATGGATGTCTTCATAAAACAGGCTGAAAAGTCAGCTTTTTTTTTTCCTCTAACACTGGTCCAACTGAGCGTTAAGAGCTGAAAAGAAGAAGCATCTAATGGCAACCAAAAAGCTATGGAATTCTTTTTAAACTTATATATATATTTTTAAAGTGTTTTCACAGCAAAGATGCAACTCTCCATTGCTATGCATACGCTGGTCATAAACGGCGGCTTGCTTGTTCAGACTTCTTTCCCTTGTGTTATAATATTGGTATTTAATAGGAAAATAAACTACATAGACTTTTTTTTTTTTAATCTGTAGGCATCCATTTGCAAATTTCCTTACAAAAGAGGACAAAGCACATAGGCATTCACAAGTTCTATGCCATTTCTGTTAAAATTGGTATCTATACATTATAGTACAGTATTAACAATGTATGTTCTACCCATTGGGTAGGATATGTGCATAATATATTCAAGTTATATACAGCACCTTACAAAGAAAAATGTAAGAAGAGACAGACCACTGAAGAAGCACCATTGTTAGTGAGGCACAACCAAGGTGGGGAAGCGGATGCGGCGGCGGCTAAACCCAGGACGTGAGTCGGGGCAGCTGCTGAGACCTACGGGCATGCAGAGCTCCCGTGGGACGTGGGTCCGTGGCCCATGCATGTGGCGTGTGGCGATCGTTGTGCTCTGTCTCGCGCTATGCCCCACCACAGACCACTTCAACAAGCACACACCGAGGGGAAGGAAGGAAGGAAGAAAGGAAAGGGGTGAAAGGAAGACGGTGCTTTCGCAGCAAGGCATCCACTCACACACGGCGGCTTCCCAATGCAGCCAACCCCGAAAGCAGCAGCAGCAGCAGCAGCAGCAGCAGCAGCAGCAGCGAACGACGGTCTAACCCTGGCAGGAACTATAAACGTGAGCTAGGCAAAGGATGCAGCACTTTGGGGAGTCACATGGCCTCAGCTGAAATGGAGGGGGTCCCCCGGCGAGAGGGTGCTTCCCGTTCCCCATCCTCCTCTCTGATCCCTGGCAGCTGGCAGCACGGTTACATTTGCAATAGGGAGGAAGGAGAGCCACCTTCAGACACAGTGCTCCTCAGGGGGAGGAGGGAGACCTGCCCGCTGCCGCTCAATCTTGCTACTTTATCTGAATTACCACATCGAGGCGAAGGTAAGCAGAGCGGGAACCCGCGTCCCTGCTCTTCAACCGAGGCTGGGGATGCTGGCGGCAAGCCAGGCGGACTTGGGGGACCCTGCCACCGTAGGAAGACACGGCGCCAAACACGGGCATCTTTTTGCTTTTCGTCACTGAGACACAGTCAACACGGTAACAAAAACCAAGTATCCTTCCCAGGTTTTTTCCGTCAGACACTGCCGAGCTTTCGAAGAGTTCAGAAAGACGAATGGCATGGCCCACGAGCAAGCAGTGACTGTCGCCGTGCTCAGTAGCAAACTCAAGAAGCAAGCAGCAGGACAGCAACCCAGCAGGAGGCGGTTCGGACGTGCCGCAGGCTGTGGCCACGGGCGCACGGGCATTCCTTTGCGGGGCAGGGGCTGGCCGGGCCTCTCTCTATGCGATGGACCGGTATCTAAAGGCCATGGCAACAGGCCTCGTCCTGCAAAGGACTTCCTGGAGACAAGAGCCAATAGATGGAAGATACGTGATCACCCCTGCCAGGATGCAGCTATGGGTTGCGGGAGGAAGGCAGGGATTAGAATGGATTCTTCTAGATAACAGAAGCTTTCTGAAAGTAGTTGCCGAAGATAAAGGGGAAGATCAAATGGAGATACAGAAGCTCAAGGAGCACTCATCTGAGTGCCACATCCCCCTGCGGGCGTTAGAAGGCCCCCTTTCCTCGCCGTGAGCTCAGTGGCTGTCTGTCTGTGCTCCCTCATGTCCAATCTTTGCCAGTTTTAAATATTCTTCTCCGCAATCTTGGAATTCCTTGCCGATTGTGTGCCCGTGTGTAGAGGTGATGGGGGAGGACAGAGGACACGCGTGTCAAGCTTCCTTAGCACGGAATTTTGGTCAGAAACACCAAGCACAGTTTAACGTTTTAAACGCATCCTTTGTTGAGCACCATCTCTTTGGGACTCAGGACTGCTTCGGTGTCTGAAGAGCACGAGACTTTCTGAAAACACAGACACCTGCCTGGGGGCCGTGCTCCTGTCAGTGGGACGCGGCATGTGCTGGGCGGCTCTGGAACGGAGGACAAGCCACAGCAGGATGCTCAGAGTCCCCTCCCAGCAGCCGCTCTTTTGAACTTGCAAGTCTTTGTCTCAACTCTCTACTGAGGTAATCAGCCTGTCACTGATGGTCTCAATCACTGCTTTCTCAACAGGGTGCTCGGGCTCTGTAAGCACACAGGCTTCTCCCATCAAACTTCCCCCCCCCCCCCCCGTCACCCCTCTTTCCACACCAGGCCAGCGAGGAGCGACGCGGTACGAACAGGTCAGCTGCCCCCTTCCAAAGAGCTACTGGTCTAAATCACCCCTTCCCTGTGCCAAAGGGAAATTGTCTATTAATTAAGTTTATGGCCTTGGCTTTTAAGTTAATTCATTCCAGAGGCCCAGCCTCAAGATCATTTAAGTTCATGGTTTCCTATGTCCCTGCCTTTCAATAACTATGGGACTTAAAGAGCAATTCCCTAGAGTGGCCGAATGGGAGGAACCTCTCTTTTGAAGGGTGATGACCTTTACTTGAATTCAATATTTGTTTTGCCAATACTGTGGGCGCCTGCAGAACATCCACATACTTGCAAGGTGACTAAGAATTGACAAGTTTCTGACAGCAGTTCCTTCTTGCAGTAGGTAGGAGAGTGAGGGACTGCAAAGCCATTCTGAGCTGGAATTCCGGGGTGGGCTCACCTGCTTTACCAAAATAGCCGGCGAGGTTTGGAATGATGGTATCATTAGCTGACCTTGCCATTTTTCATCTGAGGGGACACCAGCACCGCCACCAGGGCTGACAGGAACAAGTGCTCTCTAACCTTCACCTGACAGGGTGAGACAAAGCTCCATCCGCAAAGAGCGCCAGCTTCCCTCAGCACAGGCGTGGGATCCAGGCAGTGAGCTGACCAGGGAGGGCTCTGTAAGCACACAGGCTTCAGAGCACACAGGGTCCCCACGGGGCTCTGCCCAGTCTTAGAATTCCCACTGCCGCTCTTAGCATGCACACGTCCCAAAAGAGTCTGTTTATTCTCTTTTTCTAAGAGTTTGGCTAGTTCTGTGGCTGTTCCTGGGTGAAATGAGTCAATTTAATGAAGAGGCCAATCCTCCAAGCAAAACAAAAACCAGCAGCAGGCAGGAGCAGAGGGCAGGGGACAGGACGTGCAGCTCAGAACAGTCTCTCCAGCCCTCGGCCGACAGCACCAAGTCACCTCACTGACAGATCGTCTGAGACCCACAGACAGATCCGAGCACATGTGTTATCCCACCTTAAAACTGCGGCGGTCATTGGTTACATGCAGAGGGAAGGGGACGCACCTGCCCAGAGCAGGTGGTGGCGTGGCATTGGTTGAACATGTTGGCTGGTGCTATTACAAAAGCCAGATGCTTTCTTCCCCTAAGAACACGTTTGTAAATATCAGGAGTATTAAAACTAAAACTAACAGCATGTAACAATAGTTTCTAGTTGCATTTTAACTGCATGTTGTGCTTTGAATCCTGTGCTTTTGGAGTCGCCCCCTGCCCTGCCCTGCCCTGCCTGCCCAGCTGTGGAACTGACCGACCATCCAGTTCTGGCCACATGCAAAGGCTGTACGAACTCCCGCGGGAGTCTGGGCTGTGAGCACAGCATCCCCCTCCCCCCCCCCCCCCCCCGAGAACGCTGCGTCCACACTCGCGAAGGGCAATGGCTTGTTATCATGCTCAGCAATGTGGTGTCCCCGCCAATCCCAGGAGTTTCCCAAGAAGTCACTACCAGCACCGCTCACATGCTGAGGCCGGCAGGCTCATGCAGAGCAATCACCGAGGGCCCCGAGGGCACTAACCAGCCATCCAGCAATGAACTGAACTGTCTCGAAAAGGGGACCGACACCGGGAATACACTGAGAAGTGACATATTCCAACAGCATTCAAAATAACCACTTTGCATTTTAAACAATTTATTGCATAAAATAATGTATGTACGAGCCTACTTCATGCTACAGTGAAAAAAAAACACACACACCTAAATGACTGAAGAACTACCTGGAGGGCGAGGGCACTGCGATACTGGATGCGTCAATGCCTGTGATGGTCACTTTACCAGAACAGGCGGCCTAGGCCAGCAGAGTGACTCAGCGAGTCCCCGGTGCTGGACCTCAGCGTTCCTATCTCACCCCCAAAGGACCCCATGCTGCAGACGCCCTGCCCTCTGCCGCAGACTCTCATAGCAGGAACCGCCTTCTGGGTGGACCTAAGTTGACATGTTCACCTACGTCCCCAAACATATCTTTTCTTGCACGATTATGGGAAGCACGCCAGGGTATTCCTCGGGCCTAATAATCCACAGGTGAAAAGACAACATACAGAACGTCACATAAAACAGTTCCCTCATATATATTTTCAACATTAAGATAGTGCAACTTTTTAAAAACACATCATCATAACAACACAAAATCAACTCCTTGCATTCGTCGAACTCCCCCACTTTTTCCTTGGCACACAAAAAACAGGAATTTTTGAATCATATTTTTAAAACAAAATAAGAGTTCCACACCTTGGGAGAAAAAGCAAACTGGCCAATTCTTCCCCGTGATAATATATAATAACGCTTCCTTCTTTATTTAGTTAATTATAAATTTTAAGGCCATTCTGGCCTCTTTCTCTGCAGTCTCCTCTCATAATTAAATAAATCAAATACCTCTGGGTTTCATTTCATGATAGAGTCAAAGCACCCCTTTCTCTGTTCCCATGCCCACCCCCCTTTGCCAATGCCACCCCCCCTCCCGACACTTGCCCCCCCCCCCCCCCCATAAACACTGTTGACGGTCAGACCGGATGGAAGTTGGTATTGTTTCAGTCTGGTTTGCATGCAATTCCCCTGGAAGGAATCAGAAACAAAGACCACATTTGCATATTTGGTTTTACTTAGTTGTCGCATGTAAAACTGAACACTGAGCCCAGGAGCCGAGGAGCTGTGCAGTCCTCCTCCGTCCTCGGTCTCTTCTCCGCTCGAGTGCATGCTGGAGGATCAGACGAGATTCCCAGGCTTCCTGTCCTTGCCCTGGATGGGCACCACGGTGCCCCCCGAGCCGTCGTGCTGAAGCAGCAGCCTGCCCCCGCTGTGCGTGCTGTTGTGCTGGTGATGGAAGAAAGAGGCTCCTGGGTAGTGGCCCATCACCTCGCTGTAGGTCGGGGGCGGCCCCTCCATCCTCCCGTTACTGCTGCAGGTGCTGGCACTGATGCCCGAATTGCTGCTGGGCGGGCACGGCCCTCCGCTGTACACGGAGATGTCTATCAAGTCGCTGTCGAATATGGTCCGGTTGGGCGGGGCCCTCACAGATTCTCGGTTGAGTTCCATCTGCTGTTCGGGGTCCCTGAGCTGCAAGGTGCAGGGCCCCTGGTAAGGAGGCGGCTCCTCCCCGTCAGACAGGGAGATGGTGGGGGGGAGGTCAATCTCGTGCTGCACGTAGGGGTAGGTGGGCTGGAAGCGGCTGAACCGGTCCCTCTGGATAAAGGATGGGGCAGTGAACCTGTCCCGAGACCGTGGGGCATACATGATCTGCAAGGAAAAGAGCGAAGGCGTGGAGACATTCTTGGCTCAATAATGATCAGACACGATGCTATAAGAACATTCCCCACTTGGTCTGTGTTCTCAACCGTCTGAAACATTTCCCCCTCCAACAAAACAGGAAAAGATTATCCCAGACAAAAATGTAGGTATATTATTCCCCATGAGTTAGACCCCTCGCCTTGCCAAACTGTAGTTTATCCAAGATGGTTCAACAGTGGACAATGCGTGTAACTGAAAATGTGCGTTTAATGCATATGCTATGTGTATGCTGCACTGGGCCAAGGGCGTGTGTGTGTGTGTGTGTGTGTGTGTGTGTGTATCCACCCATTGACTTCTCCCACATCATATTTTTAAAATAAAGACAAAAAAACCTATGTTACTTTTAGGTCATTCTATTAAACTTGGAGATGTGGGAATGAATCATGCTATGATTTACCGTATACACTATGCCCATTTCTGCACAGCCTCCTTATTTGCAGCTTTTGGGGTCATGTAAAAATCAGTGATTCTCAACCTGTTTTCTGTAGGGAGCTCTAAACTAGCACAAATAATTCATAGGAGACTCTAAAAATCCCCTCCCCCACATTAAAAACCAAAGTTATGGGCAAATGCCTTAATTTAAATGTTATTTTGTTATTTCCTAATCTACGCTGTCATACACTTGACTTTTCCACCTTTTCCACTATTTTGTTGTGATGGCATACTTCCCTCCTCCCCTCGCCCATCACATCGGGTGGAGCAGCCATCTGCAGTCACCCACATCCCTCCCTTGTCCAACTCCTTACCTCTGAGCCACCAGGCTGAGGACCAGAGCTGTCTGAAGGCCACAAGCGCCCTTCCTGGCAGGGGAGGGAGGGAAACATCACAAGAAAATCATGAGTTTCATGCTGCAGCACCTGAAATCAAGGAACCACATTCCTCTTGCACAGTAGCAGACCTGTTTTAGTCACAGAACAACAAAGAACTGGTCCTTTCATTACACCGAAGTTATTACAAAAACAATCTCCTCATTACACAAAAGGAGAACTGTGGCCAAAAGGAAAATTAGAACATATGCGTTTGACATACATTCCAAATGTCATCAAACTGTATTCAGTCACTGCCTAGATTTGGGTAGAGTCTGGGTCTTTAAGCTCTTTTGTTAATTCTCACCAGAGGATATTTTTTCCATTGATTTTTTATTTATTTATTTATTTTTTAGAGAGAGTGGAAGGGAGGAAGGGAGAGAAGAGAGACAGAGAGAAACATCAATGTGAGAGAGACACACCGACTGGTTGCCTCATACACTTGCCCCAACCAGGGCGAGGGAAAGAACCTGCAACCCAGGTATGTGCCCCTGACTGGGATTGAATCCATGACCCTTCCATGCTCAGGCAGACACTCTAACTACCAAGCACACCGGCCAGGGTTGGGTGATAAGCCCGTACATAGGTACGTGGCCACGCCGGCATGCCAGCCAAGGCCCTTCTGAAGTGCGCTTTGAGGTAAGCAGCAGCACATGTCAGGCACCGCCCGCCACGCTGTGCTTTCACATTGAAAACGGAGGTTCCAACGCCTGGCTGGCCTCCGAGGGTCTAGCCAATTTATTCTTCAGTCCCTTCATTCCCAAGGCAGATGTGACCTGACATCTAGCTGTTTAACATCTTTTTTCTAAAGTGTTAGGCCAGGCTGTCAAGGTGGCAAGCTTTCCTAACACCATAGACTTGTTTACAAAGCACTTCAACGTGTTTACCCTTTTGAGCCCAAATTGTTGGCAAAGGCCTGCTGGGCTATTAGCGAAAGGCCTGGGATTGTCCTGAAGAGAAGAACATGGGCGAGCAGGAGCAGATGTCCGAGTTTTTGGATTCCCAGGAATGACCTTGTGCCATCACTGAGCCTCCTGAGAACCTGAAAGAGCCCACAAGGAGACCTGCAAGGCAAGACACCCCTACATCTCTTCTGTATTTTGTAGGTAAGGTGTAGCATTCTAATACAAACACCCCATATGGACAACAGGATGTCTGTCCAATACATCCAGCCTGATCCTACGGTGGTCCTTGCAGAACAGCATGGACCCAGTGGCAAAAATAGGAACAGGCCAGCAGCGTTTAGAGGAAGTCTGGGCTTAAGGTTTGACTATAAAGTTATGTAATGGGCCATCATGGCTCTGACCTGGAGACAGGTGACAGACCTCATCAAATCTGAGGAAATGGTTGAGCCACACCCACGGGCAGCCCTGCACCAGGCCAAGGCAGCTTGCATAGCCCGTCAGAGCCTCGGCTCCTCTGCACCAAGAGGAACCATCACTGAAGGTCTGGGCTGTCACAGCAATTCTCATATTGAAAACAACATACACACTCATCCTGGGATGCTTCTAAGACTCTGCCCTAGCTCCTCAATGAACACTCAGTCTTACATTTCACCCAGTTCACATCAATTATTAAACCCACTCAGCACTTTCCGGCCCTCCTCTCCCCTGGCTCCCAGCAGCACTAGGTCCTCTCTTGTTGGCTGAGACATCACCCCTCCTGGTTCGCACCCTGACTTCTCTGGCCACTTTCCTGCTCTTCGGGGGGTGCCCCTAACTCTGCATTTTGGTTGGATGTTGGAGTTCCTGAGAGCCATCCCCCCAGTCCACTACCAGGTGTATCTCTGGCCACTCTGAGAAGTGGCACCTTGGGTCTGTGCTGGTGGCAATTTTGAAATCTCATCCCTGACCTAACTTTCTCCTTGAAGGCAAGCATTTGTCTTGTTCATTCTTAGTTCACTCATAGACTTTACTTGTGTCTATGCATCTAACACTGAATGTTGACTGGTCGAATGGTCATTTTGGTCGTCATGGTCACTGCCTCTATGTATATATAGAGGCTGGCTCATGGAGTCCTACAACTTGCTAAGTGCAAGATGGAGAGCCAGGAAAGCTGGTGGTATAGTTCAATCTGAGACTGAAGGCCTGATGGCCACTGGTGTAAGTCTTAAAGTCCAAGAAGCAAGAACTCCAATATCAGAGGGCAAGAGAATAGAATGTCCCAGCTCAAGAAGAAAGAGAAATTTGCCTTCCTCCACCTTTTTGTTCTATTCAGGTGTTTGGGGAATTGGAAGATGCCGTCCACACTGGTGAAGATTTTCTTCATCCAGTCTACTGAGTGAATGTTAATCTCTTCTGGAATTATTCTCCCAGAGACATCAGAAATAATGTTTTGTCAGTCATCTGGGCATCTAAGCCCACTCATGTTGACACATAAAATAAGTCATCACAATTAGTGATATTGAGCTCTTTTCATCTGGTTTTGTATATCGTCTTTGTAAAAATGTTCTATTCAAGTCCTTAGTCTATTTTGAAATTGGGTGGTCCATTACTTTGTTGTTGAGTTTTAGTTCTTTATATATTCCGAATATTAACCCCAATCAGATATATGATTTGCAAATATTTTCTCCCATTCTACCAGTGGCCTTTCAATCTCCTGATAGTGTCCTTTGACAAACCAACGTTTTTAATTTCTAAAAGTCAAGTTATCATTTTTGTTTTGTTGCCTGTGCTTTTGGTGTCATATCCAAGAAATCATTGCCAAACCCAATGCCATGAGTTTCCCCCCACTAGTTTCTTTTAAGAGTTTTAACTCTTACATTTAGGTTTTAGTTCCATATTGAGTTAACTTTTTGAATATGGTGTAAGATATGGGTCTAGTGTCATTATTTTGCATATGGATATTCAGTTTTCCCAGCACCATTTTTGAAAATACTGTTCTTTCTCCTTAAATAGTCTTGGCACCCTTGTCAAAAATCATTTGACCATATATGGGGAAGTTTATTGCTGATCTCTCTTTTCTATCCCATTGTCTTTCTTTATGCCAGTACTGTACTGTCTTTGTTATTGTGGCTTTGCAGTAAGTTTTGAAATCAGAAAGTGTGAAATGTCCAACTCTGTTATTCTTTTTCAATATTATTTTGGCTATTTTGGGGTGGTGCTTCTTTGAGGTAGCACATGCATTTTAGGATGAACTTTTCTATTTCTGCAAGAAATATCATTGAGATTTTGATAGGGATTGCACTAAATCTGTGGATTGTTTTAGGTAGTACTGACATCTTAACAATACCAGGCTTTTTAATCCATGAATAGATGGGTCCATTTATTTGTATCTAATTTCTTTCAGCAACATTGTACAATCGTCAATATAATCTTTAACCCCCTTGGTTAAGTTTATTCCTAAGTATTTTTATGCCATCATAAATTGGATTTTCTTAAATTTCCATTTTGATTGTTCATTGTTAGTATTAAAAAATGCATCTGATTTTTGCATGTTAATTTTGTATCCTGCAACTTGGTTAGATTTATTTATTAGTTCTAGCAGGTGTTGTTTGTTGGACTCTTTAGAGTTTTCCTACATGTAAGGTCATGTCACTTGTTTATAGGATCGTTTTACTTTTCCCCTTATGGTTGGAATGCCTTTTATTTCTTTTTCTTGCCTAATTGTTCTGGCTAAAACTTCCAATAAATACTATGTTGAAAAGAAGTGATAAAAGCATGCACCTTGTCTTGTTCCTAATCTTAGAGAAATGGCTTTCAATCCTTCACCACTGAGTACAATGTGAATTGTGGGCTTTCCATAGATGTTCTTTATTATGTTGAGGTAATTTCCTTCCATCCTAGTTTGATGAATGTTTTTTATCATGAAAAAGTGTTGTATTATGTCAAATATTTTTTTCTGCATGATGTGGTGATCATGTAGTCCCCTCCACTTCATTCTGTTAATGCGGTGTATTACATTGATTTTTATTTGTAAAACCATCCTTACATTACGAAAATAAACCCCATTTAGACATGGTGTATAATTTTTTTAGTATGTTACTAAATTTAGTTTGCTAATATTTTGTTGAGGATTTCTGTATTAATATTCATAAGAGATAATGGTTTTCTTTTCCTGTTGTGTCTGGCTTTGGTATTAGGGTAATGCTAATTCACCAGCGTTTGAAACTATTGGTGTCAATTCTTCTTCAGATGTTGGTACAATTCACCAGTGAAGCCATCTGGTCTAGGGATTTTATTCGTTGGTAGGCTTTTGATTACTAATTCAATCTCCTTAATAGTTACAGATCTATTCAGATGTTCTATTTCTTCATGATTCAGGCTTAGTAGGGTATGTTTCTAGGAATCTGTCCATTTCATCTAGGTTATTCAATTTGTTGATATACAATTGTTCATAGCACTCTCTTATAATCTTTTTTTATTTCTATATCCCTGGGATCTTTTTCTACCCGAAGGGTAGGTTTATAGCTGTGGCCATGACTCAATGGCACTTCCACTGTGAACTGTGGCTGAAGCCTGGGGCTTTGGGTCCACGTGGGAGGCCACTCCCACAGCCTGAACCTTCTTGGTTTTATGCTCTCAGCTAATCTCTCCTTTCCACACATCAGGGACCACAGACAAGGCCATCAGATTTGGGGACTGAAAACATCTAACATGATGTTTTCCAAACTGTGAGATGCAACCTCTCAGAGAGCTAGAAAATCAACTTAAGTAGGTCACAGCCAGAATTTGAAAAATGAAACAGGATGGAAAACACCATTGTCTGTAAGTACTGTTTGATGAAAGTTTTTGCTTTAGTTATGCATGAGTATTGTAGATCATGGTATAAAGTGTGTCTCTACTGTTCTTCTTGGTCAAAAACAATCTGAAGGTCTCTGATCTAAGCCAATTATTCCTCATTTTATGTGGGAGGAAACTGGGACCCCAAAAGGGTACATTACTCACTGAAGATGACAGTTAGTTTGTGGTAAAACAAGGCCATTGGTGGATATTTTGGCTTCTACTCAAGGGTTCCTCCCAATGAATGCATGTATTATACAGCTTCAAATATTT